AAAAAAAAGAAAAGAAAAGAAAAGAAATATATATATATACACACACATATATATAAAAATTAATGAGCGGCTCAGTGCTAATACCATAGTCGTTACAGCGCAAGCCACATACACTGAAGTTGGTGGGTTCAAATCCAGCCTGGGCCAGCTAACAAGGACAACTGCAACAAAAAATAGTTGGGCATTGTGGTGGGCGCCTGTAGTCTAAGCTACTTGGGAGGCTGAGGGACGAGAATCACTTAAGCCCAAAAGTTTGAGATTGCTGTGAGCTATAACACCACAGCACTCTACTCAAAAAACAAAAAAACTAAATGAGGATTCTAGTATTTAAAAATACAATATATGAAATTAAGAACCCAATATATTGGTTTTATAGCAAACTCAACACAGCAGAATGTATAGGATTAGTGAACTACAAGACAAGTCAATAAAAAATACTCAAACTGCATGAAGGGAAAAGAGAAGAAGGAGAAAGGGAAGACAGGGATAGGAGGAGGAGAAGTTTACAAGAATTGTAGGGCATGTGAACAATGTCTAATATACATATAACAGAAGTCCCAGACAAGAGTAAAAAGATATATATACAAGACTCAATGAAAGAATAACTTGGTCAGAGTGTGGTGGCTCACACCTATAATCCTAGCACTCTGGGAGGCCAAGGCAGGTGGATTACTTAGCTCAGGAGTTTAAGACCAGCCTAAGCAAGAATGAGATCCTATCTCTACTAGAAAGAAAAAAATCAGCTGGATGTCATGGTGAGTGCCTGTAGTCCCAGCTACTCAGGAGGCTGAGGCAAGCGGATCACTTGAGCCCAAGAGTTTGAGGTTGCTGTGAGCTATGATGATGCCACAGTGAAGAAGACAGGGGAACAGTTGATCATCAAAGAAACAGTAAGACTGACAGATTTCTCTACAGAAACAAAGCCAGAACACAATAAAATGACATTATTAAAGGAATGAAAATAATGGAATTATTTTGGAAAAATAATTATTTGGTTGGAAAACTGCCAACCTAGAATACTATGTCTAGAAAAAATACCCTTCAAAAATTAAGATGAAAACTAGCCAAAGTGACTCCCACCTATAAGCTCAGCATTTTGAGAGGCTGAGTCAGGAGGATCCCTTGAGCTCAAGAGTATGAAATCAGCTTGAGCCACATAGTGAACCCCATCTTTAAAGATTTTTTTTTTTTAGGCAGCACCTGTTGCTCAGTGGGTAGGGCACTGGCCCCATATACGGAGGGTTGGCCACAGCCAAACTGCAACAACAACAAAAAAATAGCTGGATGTTGTGACGGGCGCCTATGGTCCCAGCTACTCGGGAGGCTGAGGCAAGAGAATCATCTAAGCCTAGGAGTTGGAGGTTGCCATGAGCTGTGACACCACAGCACTGTACTGAGGGTGATAAAGTGAGACTCTGTCTCTAAAACATTTTTCAGAATTTTTTTTTTCATTAGGGCAAATAACGGAAAAAACATGCTGGTATGTTTCTGTAGTCCCACGTACTCAGGAGGCTAAAGCAGGAGGACAGCTTGAACCCAAGAGTTTGAGGTTCCAGTGAGCTATAATGACACCACTGCTTGTTAGCCAGGCAAGAGATCAAGACCCTGTCTCAAAAAACAAAAAATACAAATGTTTGGAACAAAAATAAATTTCTCATCAGCAAGCCTGTACTAAAAGAAAATTAAGGGAGTTATTCAAACGTAAACTAATTATCCTACATTGGAAACATAGGAAGGAATAAACATTGTCAGACAGGCTAAACAATGTAAGGAAGTAAGTTGTGATAGTTCAAAACAATAACTGGAATGTATAAGGTTTAAAGGTTCTAAGATTTTTAGCAGTTATGTGATAGTGGTCAAATCAATAATTTATACTGTGCTATAATAAGTTAGAGAATGTAAATTTTTAGGATAACCATTAAAACAAAGTTTTATATATATGCATATATATATAAAATAAATTAGAGAAAAAATGTAATATTTAATCTAAAAGCATGACAAAGATGACAAAGGAAAAAAAGAAAAAAATGACAAAGAAAAAACAATAAGGTTATACATATAAACCCAACTATTTTAATAATTATAGTTTATGAACAAACTACTTCAAGTAAAAAGATTAAGTCTGTCAGAATGAAGACTAATAGTCTTTAAATGGCAAACACCCTACCTATATACATAAAAAGATCGAAAGTAGAGGATGGATAAAATATACCACGCAACCCTAACCAATGGAAAACTGATGTGTTCTGCTAATGTCAGAGCATACTCTGGGAGGCCAAGGCAGGAGGATCCTTTAAGCTCAGGAGTTTGAGATTAGCCTGAGTAAGAGGAAGATCCCATCTCTACTAAAAATAGAAAAAATTAGCCTGGGACAAAAGAGGGAGACTGTCTC